CAGTGTCACTGGCCCTCATATGTGGGATCCGAACCGGGGCCCTCTGGCGTCCCAAGCCAGCTCTTAACCATCGCGCCACTCGGCCGGCCCTACATTTAGCTTTTTAATCCATGCAGACAAGACTGGCTTCCTGGGCATGCAGCCTGTGCTGTTGTATAATGCTGTACTTAGAAAGGCCGGCAAATTGTGCATTCATTTTTTGTGAGGGTGTGAGTCATGTAAAGGAGACAATATATAGATTTATTAGGGATGTGTACTCTGGAGTCCAAGTACTTGCATTTGAATCTTGGCTTCGACATTCATTAGCTGTATAACATCATATAGATTTCTTAATCTTTCTATGTCTCAGATTTCTCATGCTTAAAAAGTGGGGATAATGACAATATCTATCTCCTATCATTATTTTGTTTCGTTGGTGTAATATAATTCAGGTAAAGCCCTTAGGCTAGCACCTGGCATATAGTAAATGCTCAATTAATGTTTGCTGCTATATAAGGATTTTTCCTGTGCTCATTTTAAATAGCTTTTTTTTTTTAAGTGTCAAGACTTACCTTTAGTGTGGGTCTCTTTTATACAAAACTGACCAGGTTTTGCTGTGCAGGTTCCATAGTCTAAAATACATCCATGGAAGGGAATTGAAAGGTTGCATAATCTACAGATCAGACCTCCAACATCTCCAAGTACAGGAGAGAGAATATAAGGGGGGAAATAGAGATAGAAACCAAACAGAAAAAAAGGGAAGAGAGAAAGAGATCCAAAAATAAAGCAGTGATTTTCAACTCTAAAAAGTAAACAATATTTTTAAAGTAATTCTAATTCACATATGCTACATTCATGAATTAGAAGCACTCTGAATTGATACTTACTAGAAATGAGGCCAAGAGATCTTAAGAACTTAGTTATTTAAAGTGTATTCAGTTCCTCAGCACTTAATTAAGTCAAACCAAAGTTATTTAGTGAGAAAACTTACTTTCAGCCATGTATTCACTCTTAGGCCTCCATTTTAATGTCTAAAGCAGCACACTATACATAGTGAATTCCCTGTGAGTATTTATTGCTTGATTCATGTTTACATGAATCTTCAATACTCAGATTCAGTGGCTCAAAAACATTATTCATTTTGGTTATGTAGAAATAGTCCAGCGATTCTTGAACTTAGTCAAATAGATATAATGAAAGACATTATCTAGAAGATGTGTTTCCAAATTTGACTGTGTATCAGATTTACTTAAGCAGTTAAAATAAACACAGATTCCCAGAGGCCAATTCCTCCCCCTCTTTAGAATTTATAGGAAGTGGGGCCCAGGAATCTGTATATTAGATATATAGAAACAGCAGAAGGCTTGTGATTTGGGCATAGAAAGCTGGACCAGTTTTTGAGAACCACTGGTTCTGCTGAATTCAGGAATCTCCTTTATAATAACTCCTGCAGGGAGCCTTAGCCGGTGATGGGGAGCTCATCACTATTAAAAGGAAATAAATGGGATCTGAAATCATACTGATAACTGTTCAGGCAATTGAACAAATATAGTCAGCAAAAGTGCCTAAAAGTTAAGACATCGTCTTCAGTTGCAGTAAAGAATGCGAGGGCCACGGTTTTAGAAAGGCTATGGATATTGGGTGTGGAGTCAGAAGGAGGAGGGACTATATGAGAGGGAGAGAAAGAAACTAGAGCAGACTTCACCCAGGAAAACAGTCCAGGGGCCATAGGCAAGGCAGAGAAAGATCTGGCATCACGTAAATTCTCCACCTTGGAGACCGCTTGCACCAAAAGTCTGAGCCGTGCAGTGGATCTCTAAGAGCAGGCTGGGAGACAGGATTCCGGACTCTGAGGCCCCATCCCACACCTGCTGAATCAGACTGCATTTTAACAAGATCCCCAGGGGACTCAGATGTGCATTAATCTCCTGACTCTAAGAGACTGCCCTGTTAACCCATAGGTTCAACATAAAGAGCCATCTTCATTAACTACCACCTTACCCTTTCACTGAGAGGGAGAATCCCCTTGATGGTGCTTGAGCGTGCCTGCTTGGTAGAATTGGGTGAAAGGAATAAAAAACTCCCTGTTACGTCTTTTATGTGATTCTGTTATAAATAAAGGGATGCTGGAGTTGGTGAAGAAGAACACATATAAGAGGAAAAGTGCTGGGAGGCCACTCTCTGTGTTATTGGTCTAATTAATTCATTTTCTTTGCCATATTTATAAGGACTGCCACCCTTGTATGGTTGGTTCCAGCTCAGTGATAATAATAGCAACATGTGGGCCACCATCTAACAGCTCAGTTTTCTCATCTATAAAATGGGAAATAATAACACTTAATTCATAGGGTTTTCATGAGGATTCAATGAATTAATACAAATGAAATATTTAAACTAATACCTGGCATAGAGTAAGTGCTCAATGTTAGCTCTTATTATTATTTAAGCACTTACTCAGGCCTTGTTATAAGCATTTTAATTACCTTAAGGTAATTACCACACACCACTTATATTGCAATTCTGTAATTTCTTAAGTAATTTTCTTTTTTTGATTTATGCTTTCGTAATGACTTACCACATAAGAGGCAGAATAAGATAAAAACACCACCGAAGACAGTCCTTCTCATTCTTACATTTCTAGCCAAAATAGAAGATGGAAGGAAAGATATGTCCCACCATTAAATCTTTCCTGGGGAAGTAAGAAAGTTACACATTTATGTTAGCTGCTATAAAAAGGGAAATGACTAAGTTTCATTTATTTCATTAATAAAGTATAAATAAATTTATTTTGTAAAGGAGGAAAAACAAGGTACCTGACTTTATAAAAAATTCACCACAAAACTTCTAGTTCCAGAGCATTTTAGGTGCCTTCTCATTATCAAATACCATCCCTTCCCTTAATTTTTTCCTCAAAAAGTAATTGTTTAATGCAAAAATATGAAGTGAGATAGATGATGTTTCTGGAATGATATCCTGTTACGAATTCTTGTAACTATTAGCCGAAAGGAAAGAATTTGTTTATGTTTCTTCATAAACTAATGCTTTCATTGCAAATGAACATATTTATAAGGAAAAGTATTATATGATAGTTAACCTTAGTTAATATGTATTCAAATGAAGAGAAATTGTCAGATTCTCTAAAATATAACATTTCAGTTATTCATGACTTACCTGCCTTCATCATGAGGTATTGTGGGAATTTTCTAGGTTGAACTTGTTTAAAGGATAGCAACAAGTAAAATTTCTGATGTAATGAAGTCTGTTATAACTGAAACCAATAAGGCAAGTCTCTAATCCACCAGATTCCAAACAGTTAAACAGTAAAAATTGCCTAAGTAAACAGGAAATTTTTTTACCTAAACACACTGATCTATGTGGACCTTAATTGCTTTACTCATGAAATTAACATACTAAGACTAAGTCAGTCAACAGTTAAACTGATTAACTATAAATCTGGCTAAAGATTTCTATGCTCACTGTCCTACAGATTAATTAGTTCAAATATACATAGTCTTGTGAGCATACTATCTGTTCTTGGTATAAAGTACTTGGTCTTGATTATGAAAATTATCGTATCTTTAGAGCAGAACTTGGTGCATTCAGAAAGCAATTTGATTTTTAAAAATATTTATTTCTAAATTAATATATAGTTCCAAATTAATATATTGTTCTTGAAATGAATTAAAATACTAACAATGTTACAATTTTTGACCACGTTCTCTACCAAACCCAGTGTCTTCCCAAATATAACCACATTATCAATATGCTGGGTATCCACTTTATTCTGTGCATTTTCATAATATACTTGTAACTTGGAAATATGCATAATATTGTATTTTGTTTTACTTTTGAAAAAATAGTATTATACATATTATTTTTCCCCTTGTATTTTACTCAAAAATATGTTGAAAATCTATGTCAGTCTTTAACAGTACTTCATTATTTTTCATTGCTATATAATATTTTTGGTATGGATTATACCACAACCTCATTGTGGTTTTTATTTGTTTTCCCCTGATGATTAATGATACAGAGGACCTTTTCATGTACGATCTGTTGGCCATCTGTATGTCTTTTTGGGAAAAATGTCTGTTCAGATAGTCTGCCCACTTTAAAATCAGATTTTTGTTTGTTTATTGTGATTTGGTTGTATGAGTTCTTTATATATTTTGGGTATTAATTCTTTTTTTTTTAAGATTTCATTGGGGAATTGGGAGAGGGAAACAGCGTTGGGGAATTGGGGAAGGGGAACAGACAAGTTGCTGTCCTTTTGTTCTTCAGCCTAGTTGTGGAGGACGTCGCTTCACTGGCCCATGTCAGTATTATCATTGCGCTCTTCCCAGCTGAGGCCATTGGACGGCTGCTCACGGCATCTCATGAAAGCTCACGTCAGCTGCCGGCCAGCCCCACTACAGCCTACACCGTCGCCGGCAACTCATGGCAGCCCAGCTCTAGGTTGAGCTGTTGTTCACCATCTTAGCTGTAGAGGGCACAGCATCACTGGCCCTCATGTGGGATCCAAACCAGGACCCTGCTGCTCAGACCTGGCATCCCAAGCCAACTCTTAACTATCGCGCCACTCGGCTGGCCCAGGTATTAATTCTTTATCAGATATATGACTTGCAAATATTTTCTCCCATTTGGTAGCTTGCTGATTTTTGTTGATGGTTTCCTTTGCTGTGAGAAGTTTTTTGATTTTGATATAGTCCCACTGTTTATTTTTGTTTCTATAGCTTTTGGTGTCAGATTCAAAAAAATCATTGCCAAGACCAATGTCAAGGAGCCTATTGCCTACGTTTTCTTCTAGGAGTTTTATGGTTTCAGGCCCTACATTTAGGTCTTTCATCTATTTTGAGTAAATTTTTGTGTATGGTATAAGACTCTCTGTGTATGGTGCAGTTTCATTCTTTTGCATGTGATTGTCCAATTTTCCCAACACCACTTATTGAAGAGACTGTCCTTCCCCCTTTTATATTGTTGGCTCCTTTGTCATAAATTAATCGGTCATATATGTGTAGATTTATTTCTGGTTTCTCTATTCTGTTCCATTGATCTATGTGCCTGTTTTATGCCAATACCATACTGGTTTTAAATGACATTCTGGAAAAAGCAAAACTATAGTGGTTGCCAGGGGTTAAAGGGGAGGGGAAACCTGAGTTCAGGATGATCAAACTGTTCTGTATCTTATTTGTGGTAGTGGTTACAAGACTATGCATTTGTGAATGTCAGTGACTATAAATGTAAAAATTAATTTCAAAAAATTAATAAATCGATGAATGCTGGCAGGGAGAGATACTGGGAGTCAAAAGAAACGGTAAGGGGAAGGGGAGTTCTAATTTACTATGTATATTGAGGGATCAGGGAAGGCTCTGAGGAAATGACTTTAAGCTGAGCTGTGAAGGCTGAATGAGGTGGCATTGGCCAGGAGAGAGGCGGGGAAAGAGGATTTCAGGTAGAAGAAGTACTTGAGAAGGCAAGGGAGTACTTTGGTTTTCAAAAGCCAAGAGAAAAGCAGTGTGGTCTGTAGCCCTAGTGTAAGAATGATAAGAGACAGAGGGCCACACCCTGTATGGCCTTATGGGCTGCGGAAGGATTTTGGCTTCTATCCGAGAACAATGTAGTTTTTGCTAGTGATAAGGAAAAGCATGGTTACATTTATTATTATGCTTTAAAGATAGGGCTGCAGGTTGAGAAAAGTGGAGATGAGGGAGCGTAGAAGTTGGAATATCTACATGAAAGAAAAAATGGTCTAGGACAATCCTCTAATTCACACCCACCTTTTGGGAAAAATTACCATTTCTAATAAATGCTCGTGCCAGTTTCTAATGAATTTTGATGGAATAAAGACTTGTTCTGGGTAATAGTGACACATGCAGTTGACTATGAACTGACTGCCAGTCAAGAACCTCGTCACCTTCAACCAGAGTGTTCTTTCTTTCTGTATCTAATCCATTCCCTTTTTCTAGAAAATTTTCTGACCAGGAATAAATACTGTTTTTTACATTATTTTCTTGATTTAATGTATTGACAAATAATCACTCATTTTCAGCCTTTGGAAGACTTCTGCAATCTTATGGTTAGCCATGTGCTCAGACACCCAGATTTCCGGACAAATTCTCCTTCCAAATTATGTTCAGCTTGAGGTCTGAGCCTGCAAGGAATAAATATTTTAACTGACCTATAAAGAGCATTTTTTTTCTTGCATGCACACAAGATTGTAATAAAATGTTGACACGTTTATTTTGCTAAACATGTTAAAAAGATTTTAACGAAGTTTCTGGAAACAAGATCAGTGTCCAAAAATTAATTACCTTCCTGAATATCATCAATAAACCATTAACAAACATAAACTGTAAAAGACGTCATGTATAATAACAATTGAAAATAAGGAATTTGTGAATAAATATAACAAAAACTACGCAGGATCATTATGGTGGTTCCAGGTGTTCCTTGGCTGTGGCTGCATAGCTCTAGTTTCTACCTCCACCTTCATACCTACGGTCTTCTCCTCTGTGTCTGTGCCTTCTCTCCTGGGTCTTATGACACCTGCCATTAGACTTAAGGCCCACCTGGATAATCCAGGGAGATAACATCTTGAGACTCTTCATTACATCGGCAGAGACTCTTTTTCCAAATAAGGTCACGTTCACAGGTTTTAGGGGTTACACCATGGTCTTATCTTTGGAGGGCCATTCAACCCACTACCGACAGTAAAGAACCAAATAAATGGAGGAATGTACCATGTACAGATTAATGAACACAAATATTTAATGAGTTAATCCTTGCCAAATTATATCAATTATATCCCCCAAAAGCTTTTCAATGGAACCTGATGAATTGGTCCTAAAAGGGACAAATAGCCAGGCTATTCTTTAAAGAAATCTGGGTGAGGAGATGTGACCAGCTAGATATCAACATTTATTTGAAAATTATAGTAAATAAGACCATGTGGCACTGGCACAAAGATAAACAAACTGACCAATGAAACAGAAATTAACCTACACATATATTCAAACTTGATATATGAAAGCTGTGGTATTGCAGATCAGTGGGGGGAAAAAAATGACTCTTTGGGAAATGTTCCTGGAGAAATAGGCTATCCACACTGAAAGAACTTAAATCAGCTCCCTGCCTTTCATGATTTCCAAACACCAATTCCAGATGTATTAAAACCCTACATGTGAAAGCCAAAGCTTTAATGCTATTTGGAAAAAATATAGAAAATTATGACAACAGAGAAAGAAATTATTTCTTAAGCAAGAAACAAAAGTACTAACAAAAAAAGTTAAATATGATAAAACTGACTACATTGAAATTAAGAATTTTTTGTAAGCAAAAAGATATAAAGTGAGTAAAGGGCCGGCTGAGTGGCTCAGTTGGTTAAGAGCTTGCTCAAGAGTGTGAGCTCTGAGCAACAGCGGTTCGATTCCCGGCCCTGAGCTGAGCTGCCAACAGGTGGCAGGATGGCTCAGCTGAAAAAAAAATAAGAGTAAAAAGACAAGCTGAAAACCTAGAGAAGACATTGGAATACATTGAACAATAGATTAATATCCAGAATATATAACAAATTTCTGAAAAAAATTAAGAAGAAAAAGACAAGATACACATATATTCTATTATGTCTATGTACTATTGCATCTATGTTGTATTTATTAGATTATATTCTAATATAAAATTAGGCAAAATACATGAGCAGAAATTTTAAAGAGGAAATATGAATACTCAATGAGTATAAAAAAAAACATTTAATCTCATTATTAATCATGGAAATACAAATGAAAATATCAATGGGATATCACTTTACCACCCACTAGATTAGCAAAAATTAAAAAGATTGTTAAAAGTTATATGCTGTTGGGCCTAAGGAGCAACAGAAACTCTTGCTGGTGATAGTGGATATTGTCGCAAGAATTTTGGATCACAATATGGCTTTATCTAGTACATTTTAACTTGCTTATATCCCATAACTCAGCAAATTCTCTTCCCAGGAGTAGACTCTTGGGCAGTGGTTCTCAACCTGTGGGTCGCGACCCCTTTGGGGTTTGAACAACTCTTTCACAGGGGTCGCCGAGTACTCATATGTGGGTGTATCTGCATGTGGGCCTGGAGACAGATAGAGGAGCGGTGTCTCAGTTCCTAAGACCATCGAAAATATGTGATTTCCGATGGTCTTAGGCGACCCCTGTGAAAGGTTGAGAACCGCTGCTCTAGAGCCTAGAAAACCTCTTAAACTATGGAAAGCAGACACAAGAATGTTCACAGAAACAAGGTTTGTAATGACAAGTAACTGGACATAACCCACACACCTATCAGTAGGAAAATGGATAAATAAAGATGCAGTCATATGATGGAAGGCTGGATAACCATGAACATGACTAAACTACAGCTTCTCACATAAGCATGGAGGACTCCTTGAGACGCTATATGAAATAAAGAGAAAGCCATGGCTTAGACAAATACATTCAAGTTTTATAAAGTTTACATTTTAATTATGTAAAGTTTACCAGCTAGCAAAACGAACATTTTCCATTTCATAAATTGGACATTGGTCAGGGCTGCGACTAAGCAGAGGTTAAGTGAGGCACTGGCCTCAGGTGCAAATTTAAGGGATGCCAAAAATGTCATAATGAAGATAAATTGTATTTTAATGCTATAGTAAGAAATCAAATTAACAAATCACTACATTAAGGCTACCTGTTTTTTTAAACAAAATTATATTGGAACCAGGAGGCTGGGATTAGGGTGCGGCATTATTGTAAAAGCACAGGGTCAGATCCTGTCTTTATTTAAAATTGTCATATTTTGTTTATTTGCGCCTCTTAAATTTTGCACCCAAAACAAATGCCTCATTTGTCCCATCTTAGTCCTTTTCCTGGATGGATGATTTTACTATTATGCTTCATAACTTACAAAAATGTTACATGTATTCTTTTGAATTTATCCAATATTTCAAAATTAAATAAAAAATGAAACAGAAAGAAGAGGGCTAGGGCAGTCATCTGGAAGAGGAGATGTTGCAAGTTAAAGGGACCGAGGAGAAGCTACCAAGGTTGAAGGAAAAACAGAGACTGAAGCATTTCCAAGAGTGGGATTATTTCCGGGTCTAGTGGGTCAAGACAGCTGCACCTATACATAGCTAGACAATCACCTGTTAAACATGCACTTTTTCAATCACCTAGACCTTGCCTTCAGAAACCTTGCCTACTAATAGCCTAACTGTGAGAAGAAAACACATTGTGCATTCATGCCCAGGAAACACAAGGTATGATGTAAAATTATGAAAAGCTGTATTTTTGAGCAATCATCTGAAGCGTTTTGAATCATTGACATGGCGTGCTGGGTTCATTTGAGAGGCTGCTGTGCCTCTACCTGTCTTACTTTGCTGACTAGTATATTCCTGTTATGCTTCGCGCCTCAGCTCAAGTGCATTCTCCTCTTAGATGCCTTCCTTGTGGTCAGTTTGTCTTCTGTTTGTTACGTTTCACAATTGGCCCCCAGAACAGTGTGGACAAAAAAAGCGCTGAGGCATGCTTTGTACAGGAGAAAGGGCCAAATTGGAAGTAAGGGAAATAGATAAAGGATCTCAGGTGATTAAGACAATGCAGCAAGCTGAAATCCCCTGGAGGAAGAACTTGTGGTTCTGTCTGAGCTAGGTAAGAGCAGGAAAGCTTGAGAATATGAACCAAAATTTTGAATTTAAAAGAATGAAAGCGAAGGTTACCTATGGTTCTGAGGACTGCATTCAGGTACTAGATAAGTCAGGCCTCCCTCCCTCCCTTTTCCTTCAACATTTATTGAACACCTATTATATGCCAAATGCTAATGTGGGGACAGAGCTGCTAAGATTAAGGCATGACCTGATATGACAGTTTAGGAGTTCTGTCATATTTTGTTGATTCTATTGTAATTGGTGCATTTTTTTTCACATTATATCATCTCTGAAGTTGGACTGGATCTTACAAAGCATAGCATGATTTGATAGCATCTTTCTTTATTATGTCCTTCAGTTGCAAGTGACTTAGATTTGATAAAAGACATAGAAGCTCTGTCTGTCTGTGTCAGTTTCACCTGACTGCCAGATGTTGGTATGGAGACTTCTGCATGGCTTCCTCTTAGCATCCCACACGGGGATAGGGAACACGCTCCTCAACCTTTATGACTGCCTCAGTGCGTGTCACTCTGTCCCTTTAAATGACAACATTTGGGGAGTGAACTCTGGAGTCCCCATCTGACCGCATCACCCTCGCTTCTGGCCCGTTTCTCTCGCATCTTCCAGCCTCACCCCAGGCAGAAAGAAATATGTGGACTTTTACTTGCCTTGTATCATATGATCTTTAACCTGTTTAAGATCCATGGTTAAACTGTAATGCTGAACATTACTTTAGTCTATGGGAGCGACTCTAGACTCTTATTCACAGGAATTAATTCTTGACGTGTTAAATGGGGACCACAAGAATTTAGCTAAACTTATTGAACAACTGTTTTCTGCCCTGAAGTTATAAGTCTCTCAAGGCTGTAAGAAACATGATTTACAGTGGGGGTGAGTAGGATTAAACTGTGCCAGCTGAATAGCTGTAAAAATATGATCCCTTTTGTACTTATTTCTTTCTTCCTATTCCTTTAGTAAGAACATTAAGAACAGTATTAAATATTTCAAACTTCAGTGGAAATGTATCTAGGCTTTAGTTAACTATGTTCCTGACTGCTTTTTTGAGGGGGGAAAAAAGTATTAATCGTATGAGAAAATGTCTTAGTGTTAGTTTAGAGCTTTTATCAGAAAATGTCATTGATTTATATTAAATGCCTTTGATAGATATATCATGTCTATCTAAATTCTCATGGGATGTATTCCTTTGATATATTGATAGAATACTATACATTTTCTGAGTGAATAAACTTGCATTACTGAAATAAACATTGTTATAGTATAATATTATTTTATTTTAGTATGCATATGATTGTCTGGTGTTTTATTTCTGCTTTTAACATTTATATTAAGTGAAATTAATCTACATGATGTGTGTGTGTGTGTCTGGGTGTAGATGTGTGTGTTTGCTATTTTGGTCAGGTTTGCCATCAACATTACGAAAGTTCTTAAAATAAATTGAGACACTTTCCTTATATTTTTAGATGCTGTGAAGTTTCAAATTTGTGCTCTGCCTCTTATAAGATGTATAACTTTAGACAAGTTGCTTTACTTGTTTTTAAATTTCTTTTGTAAAAATCGAATACTCAAACTTTTCCCACTTGAAGTAAATTTTAATAATGTATATTTACTTTTATATATGTTTATAATTTATATGTTCCTCTATAAATTTCAAATGTATCACCAGGTGTATACTAAGGATTTTAAAATAAATTAAATCTCTGTCAAATCTATGGTAAATTTTGCAAATCTGATTGGTAATTTTGTATATTTTTGCTTTAGAAAACATTTTCTTGTTTAGTCTTTCTATTAGTTTGTCTGTATGATGGTTTTTTAAAAACAATCTAGCCCCTGGGTTAATTTATCAAATATTTAATTTCTCCAATACATTAATGTCACATATTATT